CGGAGGCGTTGGCGGCGGCGGGCACTCCCTTCTTGGGTCGTGGTACGCCGCCGGGGGCGCTGCCACTCCCGGGTCTCCTAGCGCTGGCAGGGAAACAGCTGGAGAGGGAGCGGCGTTTCGAAACCTGCTTGGGGAACAAAGCGTAGCGTGCGAGCCCGAATATTCGGCCAGGGAGGCGTGGCCCTGAGGTGACCCGGCGGGCCGAGGGGGTGGCGCCGGATAGCCTGCAGGGGCTTGGGAAGGAGATGACCGCGGGGCCTGAAGCGACCACAGATGAAGATTGGGTGACCCTGGCCCGAGGTGTCCTGGTAGGCTAAGGGACACGGAGTGGCCAGACAACCCGACGGGCACAAGTGGGGTGGTGAAGGTCGGATGAACCAGGATTGAGTGGTCTAGGAAGTACAGCTGAGGTAATGTGGTCATCATCGGCGCTGAATTCATGCAAATAAAATACAGATATCTCTTGGGCGTGGCCTTAAGACCTTGCCTGCTGGGGTTCAACTTGCTTCTCCGAGTTACTCTTTCATTCCCCCCTTGTTTATATTTTTATTGATTTCAGAGAGTGAGAGAGAGGGATAGAAACATCAATGATGAGAGAGAATCATTGATCGGCTGCCTCCTGCACGTCCCCCACTGGGGATTGAGCCCGAAATCCGGGCGTGTGCCCTAACTGTGACCTTCTGGTTCCTAGGTCGACACTCAACCACTGAGCTACGCCGGGCTAGAATGTACATTTTAAGAAAGTGGGGATCTTGTCTATCTTGTTCAACTCTGGGCCTAGCACAATTTGTGGCCTTGAGTTGATGCTCAAATATTTGTTGAACGAATGACTATCGAGTAAAACCTCCAGGCTACTGATGCCCGATTATTGATAATACCACCCCAGGAACTGGACAGGCAAGAAAGCATATCCTCAAGGGCAGTACAAACTCTTACTTAGATCCCTCTGTCAGTGGAATTTCATTTTGGCCCTTTGCATACCTCCTAACCCCCAAGTTGAACATATTCTAGAATCTAGAGACTGTAGGGTGATAGGTGATGCCCCTCCTAGGGTAAACTAAACGGTCCAGGCCTAGTGCCTTTTGTGACTCAACATCAGCACGTTTTCACCAATCCCCAAAACACTTTCAGAATATATGAGTCTCGGGTACAATTTGAGTAGCACAGAATTTGAAGCTGGACTGCTTGGGTTCAAATGCTGGCTCAGGCAATTGACTGACTGAGTGACCTTGGGCCAGTTACTTAATCATTCCATCCGTGCTTCATGTATTATTAAACAAGCGAATACATGGCCGAAACCGGTTTGGCTCAGTGGATAGAGCGTCGGCATGCGGACTGAAAGGTCCCAGGTTCGATTCCGGTCAAGGGCATGTACCTGGGTTGCGGGCACATCCCCAGTAGGAGATGTGCAGGAGGCAGCTGATCGATGTCTCTCTCATCGATGTTTCTGACTATCTCTCTCCTTTCCTCTCTGTAAAAAATCAATAAAATATATTAAAAAAAACAAACAAAACAAGCGAATACATGCTTAGAATAGTGCCTGGCACATATTGAGCATCATTTATGTGTTTTTCCATTATTATTATTATTCAGCCTCTTCCTGGGCTTTTACCTCCATACGCTAAAAGTGTGTAGACCTTGCCCTACCTGGTTTGGCTCAGTGGATAGTGTTGGCCTGTGGACTGAAGGGGCCTGGGTTCGATTCCAGTCAAGGGCACATACCCCAGTTGCGGGCTCGATCTCATCATTGATGTTTCTATCTCTCTCTCCCTCTCCCTTCCTCTCTGAAATCGGTAAAATATATATATATGGTATATTTTTAAAAGGCAAACACTCTACCTTTAAAAAAAAGTGTGTAAATCTTAAAATGAGTGGGTGAGAGTGGGGAGAAAATCTCCATTTTCTTTTCTTTTATTTAAAAAAATATTTTATTGATTTTTTTACAGAGAGGAAGGGAGAGGGATAGAGAGTTAGAAACATCCATGAGAGAGAAACATCCATCAGCTGCCTCCTGCACACCCCCGACTGGGGATGTGCCCGCAACCAAGGTACATGCCCTTGACCGAAATCAAACCTGGGACTCTTCAGTCCACAGGCTAATGCTATAGCCACTGAGCCAAACTGGTCAGGGCTCCATTTTCTTTTCTTTCTTTTTGGTTAATCCTCACCTGAGGATATTTTCCCATTGATTTTTAGAGAGAGTGGAAGAAGTGGGAGAGACACAGAGAGAGAAACAACTATGTGAGAGAGACACATCCATTGTTTGCCTCCTGCACATGCTCCAGCCAGGGTCAAGGATCGAGCTTGCAACCAAGGTATATGCCATTAACTAGGAATCAAACCCTTTGGTCTTCAGGCCAATGCTCTAACCATTGAGAAAAACTGGCTGGGGCGAGAGACCCTGCCTTTTAAGTAATAGTAATAGTTCTATTCAAATTAAAAAATAACTTTCAATCAATAAGCATACCATTTATGACATATAACTTATGTACCATAATGGGAGGTAGGATGGTCATTCTGTAACAGAGCCATAACTAGGAATCTTTGCCTAAAAATAACTGAGACTTAATGCCTACATGTTATGAGTGTTTGCATCAACCCCTGTGATCACCATCTCTACCTGAAGGAGAAAGTATCTTATAATTCTCTTCATTGAACTCTAATTTCTATACATGTAAAATCTCTTTTAAAAAATATATATTTCTATTGATTTCAGAGAGGAAGGGAGAGGGAGGGAGAGATAGAAACATTAGAAACATCAATGTTGAGAGAGAATCATCGATCAGCTGCCTCCTGCATGCCCCCTATTGGGGATTGAGCCCACTTTTGCCCTTGACCAGGATCAAATCTGGAATCCTTCAGTCTGCAGGCTGACGCTCTATCCACTGAGCTAAACTACCTAGGGCTAAAACCACCTTTTAATGATACAGACAGTGGACAGAACCCTTGAATTCCAAGTCCCCCTTTCCTAACATAAAGCTGAAACTTTAAAAACTGTTTAAAAGCATGAACCATTGTGTTTTCCCACTCAGGTCCCTGTTTCCATGTTTTCATTTCCTATCCATCATCTTAGTGGTTTATCTGGACATCTTTCCTTCTGAAAATGAATACTGTTTTTGTTTAACCCCCCAGGTCACCAAAAGCCTCTCACTCCATTTCTGGTGCAAAGCCTATTCAAAAAGTAGTCATGACTTAGGTCAGGGGCGCTCCTTGGATAGACCATCAGATCCGTCTATACCTGTTATACTAGAGTGACTCAGTGATCTTACAAAAGTTTACTCACCAGGGATTCACCGTATAACCATCTTAACCAGGCACACTTTCTGCTGCAACAATGAGTAACTCTGACTCAAATTCGTTTAAGCAGTAAGGGCATTTGTCATTTCCCATAATATGAAGTCTTATAAGGCAGCTCAGGATGTGAGAGTGAAACATCGATCACTGCCTTCCGCATGTCCTCCACTGGGGATCGAGCCATCTAAGTTGTATATGGCAGAATTTCTTTTCTCTCTCTTTTAAAAAAATCCTCATCTGAGGATATTTTTTCCATTAATTTTTAGAGAGCCCTGACTAGTAATTAAACCAGCGACCTTTTTTTTTTAAAATATATTTTATTGAGTTTTTACAGAGAGGAAAGGAGAGAGATAGTTAGAAACATCGATGAGAGAGAAACATCGACCAGCTGCCTCCTGCACACTCCCCACTGGGGATGTGCCCGCAACCAAGGTACATGCCCCTGACCGGAATGGAACCTGGGACCCTTCAGTCCGCAGGCTGACGCTCTATCCACTGAGCCAAACCGGTTTCGGCAAACCAGCGACCTTTTAGTGCACTCGACAAAGCCCAACCAGCTGAGCCATGCACCAGCCAGAGCACTTTGTGTCCCCTTTTAAGAACAGAGCACTTCCTCCAGAAACCTTATGAGATGCCTCTTCCTTTCCCCACCCCATTGGGTTACATGCCCCTTCCTAAAGCAAGCACTAGTAAGAGTGGGGCTACCCAGGCCTGAGTTAGACCAAACAAGACTGTGGGTTTGGCTTCAGGAAGAAGAAAGAACTTATGGGTAGACGTTCAAGCAACTGTGGACTAAAAATCTCCCTTACTAGAATTTTAAAAAAGAAGGCCTGCCCAGCCATCGTGGCTCAGTGGTTGAGCATCGACCTATGAACCAGAAGGTCACAGTTTGATTCCTGGTCAGGGCATATGCCTGGGTTGTGGGCTCGATCCCCAGTAGGGGGTTGTACAGGAGGTAGCTTATCAATGATTCTCTCTCATCATTGATGTTTCTTTTTTTTTGTTAATCCTCACCTGAGGATATTTTTTCCATTGATTTTTTTTAAAATTTTTTTTATTAATGCCAAAACCGGTTTGGCTCAGTGGATAGAGCGTTGGCCTGCAGACTGAGGGGTCCCAGGTTCGATTCCGGTAGGGGGCGTGTGCCTGGGTTGC